CTTAAAATAAATAAATCTTAGGTGCTACAGGGAAAACATGCTCAGACCGTGGGACAGGAAAGTTGTGCCTGCTGGGACTCAGTGAGAGGCACTGATGGACAAGGAGGAGTCTTAGCAGCACAGATGTAGGCACATTCAGCTGGAAACAGTCTTGTACTTTTTCTTACATGCTGGGGAGAGGAGATCCATAAGTCTTTATTATCAAATTTCAGCCTATCTCTATTGTAAATGGACCATATCACAAATATTGACAACAACCAAACTTCTTCTGGGTTAGCTGGGTGCCTGAGTGAGCCATTGATTGTTCAGGACACAACAATTGCTTCTTGACAGATCCTGAGTGAAAACAGTTAAGTCCAGATAAAAATATTCCTGTGTGGAACTGACCTTGAGCTTATGGGAGCCCCTTAAAAATTAGTAAGCTTTTTGTAGTGGTCAGCTGAAGGGTTTAAGGGATGATGAAGCAAAGCTGTTTTTTTTTAACTATGGGAATCAGACTGAAAAGGATATTTTAAAATACCATCCTTTTACATTTGCTTTTCTCAGAGCAACATTTCTGTGGGCCATTTAACCAGATCCTGCCTGTGGAGCTGGGTTCTGGATCCTTGTCCCTCAGAATCTTGTCTCATACAAGGCATGAGACAAAAGCCTGGGCAGCTTTTTATGGTCTGCACTCTCAATCTAATGGTTTTACTAACAGAAGGTTCAGATCTCATGCTTGCTGGAAATTAAATCATCAGTTCAAGAATCTCTAATCAGTTTTTTTTTTTTTGCATCACATTTCTTCCTGCTTTGATAAAAAACTAAGAAGCTCTGTGCAGTGTGCTGAAATCTCCCCAGCCTTTCATCATCCAATTAATCCTACACAGCGTGCAAGAGTGAGGGAGAACAGATCAAGCTGTAGTAAGAGCAGGAATAAGAGCAGATTTGCCATTTTCTGAGAAACTCCATCATTGTCACGACACTTTTCATTGTGAACATTGCTGTAAAATTAAATTAAAATAAAATAGATTTTGTTCAAGTGGGATTATTTTTTTTTTTTTTCCAAGTCAGTCATAAATTTTTCCTTTTAAGGACCAGGAAACTATTTGATGGCATTATTGAAATCTTCATTTTAGGCTTCAATTTTTTTTAAAAAAGGAGGTTTTTTTTTAATTTTCCTGAAACCTGTCACACCCAGGTTTGTAATTGAAGGTCTGAATTTCTAAAATCACTTGACTTGGTGCTTAACTTCACCTCTACCCTTATGTCTCATTCCAAACTGATGGGATATAAACATGTGTTTCTGTAAATCAGGACCATGAATAATTAAAGAATAGAATTGAATGGGAAAATTAGAGGGTGATCAAATATTTATTTGAGCAGCAATTTATGGAAATCATTAGAAACCTGAAGGAGGCATTTTTGCCTTCTGGCTATTCTGTTCCTGAAGCACCAGCAGTTGTTCAGCTTTGCTCTAAAACACAGTTGACAACAGGAGACCAACTTCACAGCCACGTCCTTGTTTCTACTGTTTTATTAGTGCCCTAAATTTAAAAAAAGAACCCTGTTGCAAAACCCTTCTGGCACTTCAGAACAGGCAGGAAATGGGAGCAAGATGTCCAATTTTTATTTTGATCTAGTGAAATATTGTAGTATTTTTGACACTGGGTGAGGTCACTGTTCATTCTGCGTCTTTGGCTGTGCATCCCTCAAGTCTAGCTGAGGGAATTTAGATTTTACTTCCTTGTGTTTTGTACTGGACATTTGAGGGGAAGCACTAAAAGTTGTCCAGTTCCCTCCTAGATTGCTGCCATGGTTCTGTTGTGTAAGGTTAATTGCATGCTTTGTAAATAGGGTTGTCTTATTTTTGTGTCAAAAATTCACTCAGGCTCCAAGTCTGCACAAAACTTTGCTTAAGACAATTTTTAGAACAGCCCAAGCTTTTTGAATTTAGTTATGACACACTTCAAACTGTAGGGTATGAGGAAATACTTTTAGGTGGCTGGAATAAATTTCTATTGAGTGGAAGTTTATATTCTTGCTCCTGAAGCTGTGTTCTGTACTCATACAGTCATTCTGAGTGTGATGGAAGAAGGGGCAGTCCCATTCCCACGTGGATCCTGCAGTCCCTTTGCACGAGAGCTTGAGACCCAGGGCTGTGACCACAGGCATTGGGCTGACTGGAGCCTGCCCAAAGATGGGCAACGAAGCTGGGGAAGGGTCTAGAGCCCAAGTGTGGTGAGGAGCAGCTGAGGGACCTGGGGGTGCTGAGCCTGGAGCAAAGGAGGCTCAGGAGAGACCTTCTGGCTCTCCACAGGAGGAGAGGAGGCTGGAGCCAGATGGGGGTCGGGCTCTGCTCCCAAGGAGCAAGCAGTAGGATGAGAGGAAACAACCTCAGGTTGAACCAGGGGAGGATTATGATGGACCTCCGGAACAATTTCTTCCCCAAAAGGGTTGCCCAGGGCTGTGCCAGGCTGCCCAGGGCAGTGGTGGAGTCCCCATCCTTGGAGGGGTTTCCAAGCTGTGGAGATGTGGGGTGAGGGACACGGGGCAGTGGGGACCTGGCAGTGCTGGGGGAACAGTTGGACCTGATGACCTGCAAGGTCTCTTCCAACCAAACTGATTCTCTGATGCTGTGACCTCCCTGGGAATGGTTGGTGGTGGTTCTGGCCTCCAGACGTGTGCACCACCCCTCTCATGGAGGCTGCTGCTGCTGCTGCTTCCACAGGGAGAGCTGGGCTGGTTGCTTAGCAGCTGCCGAGCGGCTGCGGCGTGGAGGTGTGGGAGCTGTGGTTCTGGGCCACCTCCCTGCACCTCACCCCGGCTCTGCCAGCCTGGGGCTGGCTCCACCAGTTGTGCAGCACGGGAAGAACCTCCCAGGGAGACGGTGGGGCAAGAAACCCCACTGCTGTCGTGAGGTAAGCTGCCCCTGCTTGCTGATCCACCCCCTCGGCAGCCCTCAGCAGCCTGGCTGGTGTGCTGGTGCAGAGTGGGGTCCCTGGGAGGTGTGGGGAGCACTCCCTGGGGGTCCGTGCCCTCCAGAGCTGCCCCTGCACTCTGTGACACTGAGCAGTGCTCTGCTGAGCCCAGCTGCTCCTGGCTTGTGAATTTAACTCTTGCAGTCTTCATTAAAAGAGACTGCAGGTCTCCAGCCCAACATGGAAAATGGGGTGGAATTAACGACAGGTTTCTGATCCTTGGACAAATTGGTTTGTTTGCTGCATGGGCAGCACATGAGGTTGTATTGAAGTGTCCTGATAGCAGGAGCTAAAGGAAGGGCTGCAGTGATTCTGTCATCTCCTAGGCTGCTGACTAAACCTTGCTGAGCTGAAGGTCAGACCAGCAGCTCACCCAGGGAGCAAGAACCACTTCAGTGCAAAAGATGGAGAAATTGGGAAGGCGTCTTTGTGAAAATGATGAGACTTGCATCCTGGTTTTGTTTTTCTCCTTTAAACAAAATGATGTAACTGAGAGAAATTACAAAGCATTTAGATCCTGGGTAGATGCCCTCTGTGTGGGCTCGTGGACTATGGGTGATTTCTTGTGATGTGGAAGCAGAGTTTAGGGGCACGCACGGTCTGGAGCTGCCTGAAGTGAGTTTGGCAGAAAATAGCTAGTATGCTGCTTTTTGGGTTTTACATTGACAGTTGCCTTGCAGGCTTTGGGTAGTCCTGTAAAAGTGGTGCTTGTAACTACCCTGGTGATCAAATGGAGGCACGAGGAGGGATTGGGAAGTCAGGGTAGGTCATGCTTTTTGTATCCCATGGGAAGAGGGCACCAGGTACAGCCCCATGCAGCAGCTCCAGGATCACTCTACATCTCCTTCCCCTGGCACGTCCCCTCTTACACCACACATCTCCCTGCTCACCACTGGTGGCCAGGCACCCCTCTGTCACTCTTAATCCTTGGCCCTGACTTTGAGGAGCTGTGCAACCTGCAGCGATGGGATTCCTTCCTCTGACATCATCTTCCTCGCCCTCACTTCTGTGCTGTGGGGGCACCTGGCCTTGGGCAGCATGGCTCAAATCTGTGGCATGCTTTGTGGTTTCCCTCATCCTTCCCCGAGGGATGTAACTGCACATGGAGGCTGTAATGCCCATGAGAGGTTTTTTTTTCTTTGTGAATACACCCATACTGTTGATTTTAGGAAAGAAAGGCTGCAAAAGCACTTTGCACCTGAACCAGGAGGTGAGGAAGCTTTGTGGAGGTCCATGGTCACTGAGGCAGTGCCCACATCTGTAAGGCAGGAGTGGGCTCCTTTGAGGGGCCGAGAGGATTGATGACTGCTCATGAAGTGCTCTGACCTGTACACTGCTGCATTATTACAACAATTTTTAATTGACCATAATAGTCTATGAAGCGTTGAGAAGCAGTCATCAGATATTAAAAGCTTGGAGAAGCAAATGATGCTGTGCTGCTGTGGCCCCTCCCTTGTCCCCTGAAGCAGTATGTATCTTGTCAGTGTTTTAATTGGGGAAATGATCTGCACTCAGGAGTGAATCTCCAGCTAGTGTTATTCATCATGGATTGCTTTTTTTAATTCAGAAGATTTGCCTGGGGCGTCTGACAGAAATTTTTGCAGGCTTTAATTCTGCCTTGGGATCCCTGATTGTGTGTCTTTCCATTGATGTAGAACCTAATTTCACCCTGTTTATACAACTGTTGTGTAATTCACATTGGTGCAAAGACACCTTGTGTACAGTGATGCTACAAAGTCCTTGTAAAGCAGGTGGAAGCTGAAAGCTTTGGAAAGGTCAGAAAGCTTTGTAATGCTGGGTCATATCCAAACCCACAGTTAAATAATTAAACCAGGAACACTGAGATCTGGTTTGAGCATGGGTAGCTGTCTACAAATTAAACCAGGGTAGCACTACTGAGGCACTTCCACCCCTTCCAAATGCGCTGAGAAGAAGCATGACCGCATCTGTCTGCTCCTTCTGCCCAAATGGTCCTTTTCTTCAGCAAACCCAAATCAGTGAGGAGCTTAAAAAGTGTAATTCCCTTTTCTGTCTCTGCAGGGGAGGAGCTGGATCGTGAAGAGGAGTTATGAGGATTTCAGGGTGCTGGACAAACACCTTCACCTGTGTATCTATGACCGGCGCTTCTCCCAGCTGGCAGAGCTGCCCCGCTCCGATGCCCTGAAGGACAGCCCAGAGGTGAAGCAGCTCCTCTGTGAACACTTCAAGCACAATCAGCAGCAAGGGGCTGCTTTCAAACATGTACAAAGTTGTTTTTAACGCAGCCTGGGTTAGGTTTGGAAATTAATGACACTGGTGTGTGTTTTCTACCCTTCCTTTCAGTGATATAAATGGAAATGCCCAGCACGTTGATAGGAATTGATGCACTGCTAAGTGTGGAGTGGTTATTGAGAGCATCAGCTGTCCTGTTGGTACCTGAGATAAGAATTTTATGTCTTTGGAAACTTCTTTTAGTGATGTGGCTGTTTCATGACTTCATATCAGCAACTTAACATTCCTAGGAACTCATGCTGTTCTAGGGCTGCAGGGTAATCCCATGTGGAATGCTAGACTTACATTTCTAAACCAAAAATTACTGAAACTGGTTTTTAAGAGCATTTGCATTAGTATGTTATTCAAATAGTCTTTAAAAGCTTAAAGAGTGTTGTTTGGTTGTTTTTTTTTTTCCCTGACTGAATAAGAGGTATTTTTAATTTCTTGACTCATTATTGTGAGCTGGAATTCCTTCAGTTTCTCACCTATTGGTAATTTAGAGATTTATTCATGTCCAAAATAATCTTCTGGAAGGTAGCATGTGCATCTTGACTGCATCATTTCAGAAGATCAGAGAGGGAGGCAATGTAACATGTGCCCATGGAGGTTATTTGAGGCACTAGAGCATAATGAAGCTAACTGGCTTCAGTTTGTCTGCAGGAGGGACACGTAGCACGGTGCCCATTGCTTCATTCCACAGGTCACTTCTCTCTGGGACCTGCAGTTGTGTGTTTGCCCCCTCCCATCAAACACAAGCATGGAAAAATCCTGACATGCTGTGTTGGAAGGCTGATGCTGCCTGCCCACAAGATGTGTAGCTGCAGAGGGAAATGAGGAAATTGAGGCCATTCAAACAAGAACCCACCCAGGATCTATAAATCAGAATCTGTGTTCTTTCAGTGCTGAGTGGGTGAGGATTGATTGCTTTAGAACAACACACAATGGCTGAAATCAGTATCCCACTGAAGGCTACAGGGTACTGGATGTGGGAAGTTGATAATGCAGTCCCATTGCTCATCAGAGAATCTGATTTATTGCTTGCTTGGGCTTAACACAGGCTGTTTCTGAAGATAATTTAAAGTTCATAGTCTTTTAAATTCAGCAGAAGCAGCAATATTCAGGATAATGAATTCCTGGGTTTAGTTTTTCAAATGATATTTTAGCCATCTCTTCCATCTTTATTTGTTCAACTGATTTACTCCTTACTTTTTAGCATGAGCCAGAAAATCTGCATCATATCTGTAAGCAGAGGAGATGTAAAGATGTTGAACAGCTCTACTCTCCTGTGAAGTGTAATTCTGCAGCTGTGTGGTGTCTCGTACTCTATTTTTTTTATTTTGAATTATCACATTTGAGCAGATGTGCAGTGAGAACAGTGTTTTGAGCAGCAGTACAAACTCTGGGTTACAATACTGCTTTATGACACTGGCCCTGCAATGCTTTGGAAAGCCCTCACCAGCTTCTCTCTAACAAAAGCAAGTTTACTATTACAGATGGGACATTGCTTGTGTGTGAAATCTATGAGAGGAAGGCTTTAGATGTAAGGTGTCTTGATGAGAGGAACTGTGAAAATGACTTGTTTTATAAAAGTAACATTATTACTCTCACAGGGAGCTTCTTCACACGTTTGGTGTGTGATTGTAATGCTGTGTGTCCCTCACTGCCCTTCAAAAGGGGATGTATTTCTATGACACTTCCCTGTGCCCATGGGTGATTTTGACCTCTTCAGGTCTGAGGAAGTCTCTCCAGACTCTGGTGTGTTAACAGCAAACCCTTCTGTCTGTCTCCTTCTGTTCCAGCTCGTCACCCAGATGCTGATGGCTTACCTGTCACGGCTCTCGGCCATCGCAGGCAACAAGATCAACTGTGGGCCTGCTCTCACATGGATGGAGGTATAGTGTCTGCCTTAATCCTTCTGTGTTCCCTGACCTTAGCAGCAGAGCAAGCCACAAATGTGCTCTTTTGCCTTTCCAGAAAGAGGTATAATCCTTCCAGACCTATTAGTGTCACTGAAATGCCATCTTACAAGCTTTATTCCCCTGTTACCAGCATACAGGTGACCACAAAAGGTCTAGAACAGAGTCAGGTCCCACATTAAGAATACTGGAGCTTTTTTGCATGTCTTGCTTGGGTTCTGTCCCCCAAAGACATTCTGCAATGATATTCATAGAATGGGTTGTGTTGGAAGTGACCTTAACAATCATCTCATTCCCAACCCAGGGACACCTCCCACTAGAGCAGGTTGCTCCAAGCTCCATCCAACCTGGTCTGGAACAGCTCCAGGGATGGAGCATCCACAGCTTCCCTGGGCAACCTGGGCCAGGGTCTCACCAGTAAATGACTCACAAGTAAAAGGAGGTGGCTGTTTGAGTGAATGGATTGATGGACCTGGGCAAGTCCAGTTCATGGCTGAAGTCTCCAAGTGTTAGTTTGCAGAAAGCACCACACACTGCTTTTTGGCAAGACAATATTGCAAGCGTGGCAAGTTCCTAAAACTTGGAGTAGTCCCAGTCATGGTGTTTGCTTAGGGGTTTTTTATTATTATTATTTTTGCTTGCAATAGCTAGAGAAACAATAACTGTTATCTGCTGGTGGTGGAACTGCTCAACAGAGCCTGTGTTGTGCTTGCAGCAGCACTGTTTGTATGTTGTGAACTGCAGCTGCAGCTTTGGCTCCCCTCTTAATCTTCTGCTGTCTTAAACAATGGCCCTCACTGGGCAAGGAGTGCAGGGAAGAATGGGGCTGGGTGCTCAAGGCCACCAGTCTGAGCTGTGGGTCCTGATCAGTCTGGGTAGGGATATGTGCACCTCTCTGTTGCCTGGTGATGTTGCTGCAGGCCAGGAATAGAAACAGCTATTATTAGACTCTTGCAATTAATTTTTAAGTGTTTGTGATAACAATTGAGTGCATTTACCTGCAGTTTTCCCCACTGACACATCCTGAAGTCCTTTGGAATGAGAAACATCTTGGAAATCTCAGCATGAAGGGAGGAAAGCAGTTATAGAGAAAAATGAAACTGCAGAATTTACAGCAGTACAATAGACCTGAAGATTACAGCAAACCTGTTGCCTGTGTAGTACAGAATAACCTTTCCAATTAACTGAGGATCATACAGGAATGTATGAATTTTGAAAGTATTTGAAGTAAAAATGCAGGAATTTTGACAGTAGGCTGATGATTGCAGCAAGAGGTGGGAGCCATGTTTTCTTAAAAGAAGAAATGAAAACGTGGGAGAATGTTGCAAGCATCATCTTGGTTTGACAGCAATTCCTCCTTCCCTCAGTGCCTCTTCTTGAGCATTTATTCCACTTTGCAGAGAATTTTGTAGTCATGTTTGTATTGCTGTTTTAAGGACTTCAGGAAAAACAATAGGGTTTAGTGTTAAAGGGAGGCATGGCCACTTGCTGTCATGCTACTGTTTGCACACAAAGATGCACAAATGAAGCATTTTCCTCATTAGCTGCACAGGGACACACCACCTCCTGAAATAATCTTTAGGAGTTGTTTTTCTGCCTCCTCTCTGCATGTGCTGTGCCCCCCTGTGCTGTCTGTCCATGCTGCTCTCCTCGGGGGGCCCCCAGGCTCTGCTGTCTCTCTGAATCAGCTTGAAGGCTCTGCCATGTATGAGCACCAATAAAATGCCTCCTCACTTGTCCTCAGCTGCCTCACAGTCTCTCCTGCTCTTTATTTCAGATTGATAACAAGGGGAATCACCTGCTGGTTCATGAGGAGTCGTCCATTAATGTTCCTGCTATTGCTGCTGCCCATGTTATTAAGAGATATATTGCTCAAGCAGCAGATGAACTGTCCTTTGAGGTAAATAATTAAAGGGGTTTACATTCCTTGTCATATACAGAAGTGTGTGTCTCTGTGTGTGTGTGCATGTCAGGAATATATTCAGATGATTTCAGAACATTTTGTGAGGTGAAGCTTGGAAGATCCAGTTAAATATTGGATTTTCAGTGGGCTGGATACAGGGAGGAGTTCAGTCATCTTTAAAATAGAGCTTTACTTGGCATTAGTATCTTCTGATTAAACAGATACTGCCAAGGGCTGTAGCCTGGTCTCTGAGCAGCAGCAGCCCCTGCATAGTTCCTGCTCCAGAGTGTATGAGAAGTGTGTTGTATCTGTTCAGGAGGACTGTGCACATGTGTGTGTACATGGACACATGCCAGCTCCATTATTCATTGGCCAGTTTACACAACCTGGGTTCCTGTTAGCAGTTCTGTGTCTAAAACAATTTTCAGTGTTTCTGCTCTCATGAAAAACAAAGAGTATAAAGAATAATAATAATACAAATAAAGGCTGTCAGTGAATTTGGTACTTAAAGGGCAGGTGATGATGTAAAACTGTTCTGAAAATCTTACTTGGGGGCAAAGATCTGGACCCTGGAGGTCTTGGTCAGTTTGTGAACTACAAAAGGACCTCTTCACTTTTTGCTGTGAAAGGAAAGAAGACCTCTGATGATGCCTACACACATCCATAGGGCATGTAATAAAAATCAGTTCAGCTGCTTGAGAATGTTTTCCAAGGTGTTTCACAGCATCACTGCTGTGTAAACTCTGCAGTTTGTTCAGAGCCCTGCTGCACCCTTTGGCAGAGGGCCTGCTGCTCTTCAGTGTGATTTCCTCAGGAACAGCTGCATGTTACAATGCAGCAACTCTTCTCCCTCACAGCTGGATTTTGCCCAGGCAGATGTCTCACCACTGGCACTGGCACAGTTGCTCACAAGTTCTCTGCAGTGCTGGCAGGTCCAGTGGTTTGAACTGTGCTTCCCTCCTGGCCATGCTGCAGGCTGTGACTGATGGTGCCCATCTCTTGCAGGTGGGGGACATAGTGTCTGTTATTGACATGCCACCGAAGGAGCTCACCACCTGGTGGAGAGGCAAACATGGATTTCAGGTAGGTGCAAGCATCAGACATGACAGGATGATTTAAAGGCAGGAAACTCAGCCTGTGTTTGTCAGGCTGCTGTCCCTGAGCAGGGTTACACGTGGATATGAGCAGTGTCCCTTTGCTGGTGAAAGGACTTCTCGTTTCTCTCTGGATTTGGGCTGGAGCAGGGATGTGATCTGCATAGAAGTTACCTCCCTACCTAAGTGTGAGGCAGGGATAGCCACAGCCCCATGATTGACAGCTGGCCTGATGTTAGTGGAAGCTTCTGGTGCACCCCCTCCAAGGCAGCTGACACTGTTATTCAAATCATCCCATTCCTTCCACTGTGTAAAACTAGATCAGGCAGAACGTGGAGGATTCAGAGAAAGACAGTTGATAAGACACTGCCACTGACTTGGACAAGCCACCCAACTAACCTGTGCTCTCATGTCTGTGTTTATGGTGTGGTGTTGATATTGCTGGTCTCTGTAAATGTCAGAGCAGAAAGATTTAGAATGAATTTTCAGATCCTAAACATGCCTGGGAATTAGATACCAAAGCTTTTGTGTCAAAACTTTTTCCTTCCAAAAGACTTGTTACTCCCTAGCTTGGATTTTTGCATTAGGAAATTTAATTTAAAGAAAGTCTCAATTTACAAAACAAAACCCAAAGGCTACTGAAGGTTGGGGTAACTGGCTTTCTAACTCCTCACACTGTAATGTCTCACATTTCAGCTCCTTTCAAGTAGGAGGAATTTTCACACTGCAGCTGCTGTCTGTGAGGAGGTGGATTTACGAGGTTTCGCTCTGGACAGGGTCAGAATTGACCAGACTCTTGTTGTGTATTTTGGCCTGGAAAGTCTTCTCCAAGTACCTCAGATTTTCCCTGACAGACCTTTCTGTGCCAGATCCAGAGTGTGGTTCTGCTGTCATTAATGGCTGTGTGCAATTGGATCTTCAAACATGACAAATCCCACCTGAATGGAGGGTTAGTCACACGATTACATTTCTGTCTGATTAGCCCGAGCATGTGAGGTGCAGCTTTTGTTGGCTCTCTGTCAGATGGGGGAGTTCAGATAACATCTCATTTGTAAAATCAGAGCCCTGTGGACAGACAACACTTGCCCTGAAATTAAATTTATTTCTGGAGTTAACACGTTGATATTTTTGGAACAAACTTGACTGTTCTTCTCTTGGTTTTGAACAGTTTTGTATCGTTGTGAGACTTCTGTTCTGATCCTAGAAGACCTAAAGCTGTATTTGCTGTACTATCAAAAATTAATGAAATGCTTTAGTGCTGCTTGGAATACCTGGCCTTCTGCCTCTCAGATCAGAGCAATCCTCTGTGCTTCCCCAGCAGAATGATACGTTGGTGAGCAAACCACTTGAACAAGAGTCTGTCTCCATCTCTGCAGTCTGACACAACAGATCCGAGCAGCTGCAGAAATGGAGCGTTGTATTTTGGCTTCACAGAAAAACAGGGGTGGAATAATCCTGTGTCTTAAATTGTAGGCAAGTCTTCCACACTGTGAATCAGACTGTGGCCACTGAACCACCCTCCTGGAGGTGCCACAGCCAGAATGTGTGTCTCAGGAGCTCCCAGGATGTGTTTGCGTGGGTGCAGAAGGTGGAGTTGGCGTGTTTGAAGCACCCATCTGTGCATGCTGACTGCAGAGCACAGCTAGTTACCTCAGAGGGGGTGTTCAGCAGCTGGATCCCAGTTGACAGGCAGTAATTTCATAAGCTGTGCTAACTCAGTCATTACTGCATAAACACATCTCCTCACACAGTCGTGGGTCTGATTTGCAGAGGTGCATTTTTCCCCTGGATTGGCAGCTTTAGTAATTTCTTTGAAATGTGTTTACCAGAGCTTTTCAGTTCCATGGAACACCAGCAGCTACCAAGAGATGCCAAGTCTGTGTTTGTACAAAGAGAGAGGGGTGCTGGAGTGGGTCAGAGAATGGCAGCAAAGTTGGTGAGAGGTCTGGGGAACGTGTCTCAGGAGGAGTGGATGAGGGACATGGGGTTTAGTCTGGAGAAGAGGAGGCTGAGGGGAGACCTTGCTCTCTACAGCTACCTGCAAGGAGGTTAGAGGGAGGTGAGTGTTGGTCTCTTCTCCCAACTAACCAAGAGGAAATGGGCTTAAGTTATACCAAGAGATATTTTGATTGGATATTAGGAAGAGTTTATTTCCTGAAAGAGTGGTGAGGTGTTGCATGAGGGTGCCCAAGGAGGTGGTGGAGTTCAAAAAACGTGGAGACATGACACTTTGGCACATGTTTTAGTGATCATGGTAGTGTTCAGTTGGACTTGATGATCTTGGAGGTCTTTTCCAACCTTAATGATTCTATGATTCTATTCTGTGATTCTATTCTAGGGCTTTTTAACCTGTATTTCACTTCTAAGGCCCATAAATGAGTGTACAGAAAAAATACATTTCCTGATGTTGTGGAGTTTTTTGACCATGCAAACTGTCACAGTGAGGAGAGAATTCAGAGAAAGGAAATTTATCCCTGGTGTTGATACACCAGCCTTAGAGATGTGTTACAGTTTGAAATGCTGGGGTTTAAACCCCAAACCCTGAATCAGGGTTGACATATGGATGATGCCCACAACAAGGCAGGACAGACCTTCCTCTTGGTTTTCCCCCAAGGCCTGGCCAACCTTGGGTGAAAACCAATGAGGAGATCACCACCAGATGCCCTGCCTTTAGAATTAACATCAGGTATTCCACCTCTAGATTTAGTAATATAAAAGCTGGCTCTGCTTGCAGTGCAGGGGGAAGATTACCCCTGTGGTGGATGTACTCTGTAGGGTTTCTTGTTGTTGGAAGGGCTCCATGACAAGTATCATTCCCAGTGATGGTGGCACAACAGGACAACCAGGACAGAAAGAGGATTGTGTATGTCATGATGTTTTTCCATGGCAATTACTGTATGATTGGAATCAGACTGATGATCTGGCTTATTCCTTCCCCCACGACTTGATTTCTAACTGGGCTCACTCCTTTCTTTGCTACATATGCCATGAGTGAGTACCTCAATCTATTGGTTCCTCCTGTTGTTAGCCACCTCCTGTCTTCCCTGTGTTCTTTGAAGTGGGATGGCAAAGGCTTTCCTGTATCTATCCTGCTCATGGCAATATCCTTCCTCCTTAGCAAAAGAAGTTCAGGACAGGCTTGTACTTGATGGATACTTGGAGAGTGGGTAGGTGAAGTGTATTGTCACACTGATAGGTGTAAGTGCTGGTGAAGCTGTGCAGCCTTCAGAGCATTTATTATAGGCAAACAGTTCTGTTCCCATTTAGGAACACTAGCCATTGTAAATGTGATAGCAATCTGTTGATCCTGTCGTTTTAATTAGTAAAATAAATCAACAAAGACTGTCTTGCCAGCTAGTTGTGATTCTGAGAGCAGATAAGAGGTGGAGGTCCAAAGACCAAATGCTTGGACAGTTTGTTTGTGTTGCTTCTCAGGGTTTTGCTTAGTGCTGGGAAAGGAGCAAGGTTTTATCGAGTGGATCACAGCTTACATGGTAAATCATATCTTGATTGGAGGAGAGCAAGGTTTTGCTGAATGTGGAAAAAAATCACCCCTTGATTTGAAAGAGCTTACCTGCTTTTGTGCTTTTAAACCAGCTGTGACTTGTGTGGGCAGAAGTACATTCATTTCTGCACGTCCCCTGGTCTCTTAGGGCAAATAAAAGGTTTCTGGGTGTTGTGCAAGGCACGAGAGGCAGGTCTGCAGGTGGGAAGAGGAGAGCAGATCCCGTGTTGTGCCAGTTGTTCAGCTGGAGCTGCAGCTTTGGTTCAGTGTGGAAGCCAGGCTGCTCTTTGCCAGCCAGAGCTCTCCTGAAGGAATGAATCACCATTTTTGTCACCCTTTGGATTTCTGCCTTCCAGTTGCCTTTCTCCCAATACCTGATCTAATGACTTAATCCTGTGTGGAACAGAACAACCCACCAGGCTGCTCCCCATTTTCTCTGCTTAAAGGGAAATGATTTTTATGACTTTTTTCCTCAAGCCTTTTCCTTTTCAAACGCCTTTATTGAGTCACTGCCTTCACTGTAAGAGTGTTACCTAAATCACAGCCACCTCCACACCAACAGCCTCCCAGCCTTCTTTGTTCTCCTTTTTCTTCATGCTTTGTCTTTTCAATCAGTAACTCTCTCAGACAGCTGAATCATTAGGGACAGGCCCTTTTTTTTTGGATGCACAGCTACCTTTTGATGTTCTGAAGAGTTCTGTCTTTGGGGTATAGTTCCAGTAGCTGCACTGCTGCACAACAACAAGCTGCTAGAGATGGCAGAAAGCAGTGCACAGGAGTGTGTGTAAACAGAGGTGGACTGGGATGGGTTTTTATAATGAGCTTGAACTGGTTGTGAAACTGTAATCCTGTGCTTTCAAACCATGGTCCATGCTGAGCTTGGACATGGGCTTTAAACCTGGAGATCCCAAAAAGGGATGTGTTCAGTCTTGGTTTGGTCAGGAGCAAACCAGGCTGTTAGTTGACAGCAAGGTTTTCATCTTGTGTATCATTTTCTAACAGAAAACATGTCTGTGATGTGAGCAGAGGGTACTGATCAGTAAGAAGGGCCTGGGCAGGCAGAGCATGTTTTTGTGGCTAGCATCACTTTGGAAGCACCAGTTCTTACCTGAGAAAGCCCAGGTTTGGTTTCTGGTTCAGATGCATCGACCTGGGAACGTGGGGTGAGAAGCAAACATCTGGCTGGGGAATGAGCTCACCTGCCAAATGGGTGAGATGGGCAAGAGGCCAGTGGCCCACACAGACTTTCGTGGGGGTATCAAAGAAATTCGAAGGGTTTTGTGGCCACAGTGTTCAGCTCTGCTTGACAATAGTTGAGGGTAAGTGGACTAACAATCCTGTTCCTCTAAAATGGGCAAGTACCTTCTGAACAGGAGCTGCACTGGTGTGCAGCTGGACTTTGGGAGCTAGGGGAGCATACCCTCCTCTCTGCCTTGGCTGCTGCTGTGGGTCAAACAGCACAGGGAAGGTTCTCCTGAAAGCCAAACAACCAACAAAAAGTTGATGTCTCCCTAACATGATTTAAAACTAAAAGAGAAAAACTGTTGAATAAAACTTATCCCACACTTTAGCCTATGTCAAACCCCAGAACCAATCAAAGTGTCTCAAACAACGTTTCATTTGCCATTTATGTTGCTGCCACTTTCTCATTTCTTTGACTTCCCTCCTTGACCACTGAAAATTATTACTGTCACTTTGACTTTTCCCCTTAAAGCCTCATGTATCTTCCAGTCTTAGCAGATGCTGGTGTGGAAAAAAAAAAGATAGAGTAGCTGTTGCAGGAATGTTTGGATACAACAGTAGCCTGTACTTTCCTCCTTTTGGTTAAGGTGTGTAAGGATTTTTTTAACCTTTAGATGATCTTGCATTTATCTAAATATATATGACCCTTGCTATTCATTTTCATACGTTGCCAAATCTTTTAATCCTGGCTCAAGCTCTAATAGTGCCTTCCTACAGCTGTCAAGATTAACTCTTGGACTAAACTCCTTTATTTACACAAAACCAGGGAAAACTTTCCATGGAAGAAAAAGCAGCATCCTTTTTAGCGGGTGGGAATGAGGCACAAGTTGGAGGTTATGACCCTGAAGATGATCTCGTGGGGATCTGGTGAGAAAAGTTAGAATAAATCAGTCAGAAAATGTAAGCTGTCAGAGTTGTGACCAGTAAGCTAACATCAGAGGGCTTGGCAACACTAGCACAAG